ACCACCTTCCACCTTCTTCCTCCACCACCTCCTTCACCTATCCACCGTAGCCAACCGCCTTGCACCTTCTTCCTCCACCACCTCCTTCACCCATCCACCATAGCCAACCACCTTGCACCTTCTTCCTCTTCCACCTCCTTCACCCATCCACCATAGCCAACCACCCTGCACCTTCTTCCTCTTCCGCCACTCGCACGTTGTGAGCAAAGGAGACACCAAAGAGCGCAAGAAGCGTTAGGTAGGGCGGTAGGTCACGCTAGGGAGTAAGATTGATTAGGGAATAAGAGTCTCTTACTCTCTCTCTCTCTCTTTCTCTCTCTCTTTCTCTCTCTCTCTCTCTCTCTCTCTCTCTCTCTCTCTCTCTCTCTCTCTCTCTCTCTCTTTCTATCTTCCTCTCGCTCTCTCCGCCTCTCTCTTTCCTTCCCACTTCTCTCTCTCTCACACATTCTCTTTCCCTAGATCCTTGACCTTCACCTTACCCTCTCCCCCCTCGTCCTTCTTGGCACGTGACTAACCCTTCCCCTTTCACTTGTTATCTTGTCAGGGGTCGAACGGTGAAAAAAAACGGTCCTCACTTGGTGGAGAAAGAGGGTAACGGAAGGGTAGCCGGTCCCTTGCGCCACCAAGAAGGAGAAAGAAAAGACCTTTGAGGGTTTGTGAAGGCAAGGTCCTCGAGAAAAGTAAAAGAGAGAGAGCGTGGCACAAGGTCAGTTGACTCAACCATTTCCCCGACTCCATGACTAAGGAGAATGCATGGCTTGATTGTGAAGGGAAGGGAAAGTTAGAAGGAACCTGGGGAGTGAAAGGATCTTAGGCTTGCGGGATGGGCAATGCGTTGACCCTATTGGGGGATTGTATCGGTCCTTGCTTTGTGTGGGGCTATGCAAGTGAGTAACTTAGGATGGCGTTGAGCGGGATCGGGCTCGAGATACGCGAGCGGCAGGGAGAAGGGGTCAGAATGGGAAGGCCATGGGCGTAGTGTGAACTTCAAACGCGGGCGGGCCTCGGTGTAGGATGCTTGCATGCGACATGGGGGAAGGGGTGTGATTCGGCATGATGAATGTGTGTCTTGACTCTTTGCATGCAATGTGGAAGCCCGGAAAGACTAAGGGTGAGAGACGGATATGAGAATATAATGCGTGTGTCAAGCAAAAAAAATAGGGGTTAGGGGATGGACGGTGTCGCCGCACCTCGATGATGCCGTAGGGATTGTTGTGCCTAGCGAAAAGGTGTGTGGCCCAAGGATGACGCTCGGCCCACGCACAAAAGAAGAAAGATTCTCAAGGAACCTCCTGGACTGCTTGTGTATTAGAAGGAGCAATTGCCTGACCACATCTAAGCGAATCGAGAAAACGCCGCGAGTGACCTTAAAGCTACCATCTAGTACGAGGGCGGAGCTACATCCCCAATGTAAAGCCCTCTCGCAAATGACCTATCCCCATCCATCTCAAAGCACTAGGTGGGGGTGCCCCTTGGACGAATGACCCGCGCCCTGAGCGTGAGTGTGGGCGGGTTAAGCCAAATGGGACCCCCAAGTGGTCGACTACGGCTCGAAAGTTTATCAGGGTACGAACCTACAACGGTGCAGATGAATGTCCGGAGTGGATGCGCTTGTCATCTGCGTCGCGACGCGGATCCGGGACTCCTCGAGGACTGCAGTAACCGGAGGATTCGCATGAGCCTGAGGAGGTGCGGACGTGCAACGCAACGACAAGCAGCTGTGGGCAGAGTGCAAGCAGGCCTTGAATCAAGGTGGAACGGAGACAATCACGAGAGGAGTGCAACGGCTTCACGTGGACGAAGGCGACGAAGCGGCTTTCGACGAGCCCCTGGGTTGTGACGACGTTGACGGCGACGACGATTGCAACTCCGATGATTTGCCAAAGATCAGGCAGCTTGGGAGGAAAGTGACGAACGGCGGTGCGAGTGCGAAGAGGGGTCCCGCTCTGAAAAATCGACGGAATAAAAACATGGATGACGACACCGGCCGGAGCGATGGCGAGGGCGGCCGGAACTTCTGGTCGGTGGGTGACACGATCGCACTCGTCAGGGCAAAAAGGGATCAAGATCTGTATATCGCCAGCATGGGCACCAGTTTCGCCTGCATGAAAACGGGGGAGTGGAAGTAGGAGGACGTGCGGGCGAGGTTGCAGACGATGGGCATCACGAGGGAGGGCATCGACTGCGAGAAGAAATGGGACAACTTGATGCAACAATTCAAGAAGGTCCACAAGTTCCGGAACCTCTCCGGTGGGAAGGACTACTTCAAGCTTGCTTCAAAGGCCAGACAATCGGAGGGCTTCAACTTCGTCATAGACCGGAGCGTGTACGACGAGACGGAGGCCATGATGAAGGGGGATCATACGATCCACCCGAAGAATTTGGCGGACATGGGGGCGGCCGGGGTGGTGCAGATGCTGGCACGCGCGGGGGCTGGAGGGGAGACCATGGTCAATGAGGGTGGAGGGGAGGCAGCCGACGAGGAGCAGGGGTCGACGAAAGACTCCACATTCAGCGCGAGGAGCGGCGACGGTTATGGGAAGAGGAAGAACATGCGGCAACAAACTTTTGAGGCCGTCGTCGACATCATGGACAAGCATGGTGCGCTCATGGCGAGCACAATGGACAGCACGAGCAAGTGACAATGCTCAATGATGTTATGTCAGTGCGAAATCTTGGAGAGCGAAGTGGAAGTACAAAGGAAACATTATGCTGCGGCGGATGAGGCGAACAGATTGATGTGGAACGCCCTTATGGAGATAGCGAAAGCCATCCGTGAGAGATCATGACTGGTGCTGACTATGACGTCCGTTGTTGCTTTAGTGGCATGTCTCTCCACGCGCTGCGCTTGCGACGATGACTACCTGTGTGTGTGTGTGTGTGTGTGTGTGTGTGTGTGTGTGTGTGTGTGTGTGTGTGTGTAGTCGCTTCTTGCTTATCACTACCTTTCTTCGAATTTTTTTTTTTTGTTTTGGTTCTTGTACCTCGCGGTGAAGGAGAGTGGTATGTCTGAGGTTTTCGCTCTCCACAGCGAGACGGCCATATGTTGAAGGGGTTATGTGGGTCGACGATTGTGGTGGATGGGGGTGGCGCCGTTCGTGGTGGAGGGCGGGGGGGGGTGTGTTTGGGGAAATGGGGGTTGGGAGGGTATGCTTCTGGTTTTTTGAATAATTTAGTTTTGGCCCCTAGAGAGTGTATGGACGCGCAGCCGGAGAGGCGTCGAAGGGTCTGTTGGCGCCTCGAGGAAGGTGGGCGTGGCAACAGATGAAGGGCGGGTGAGCGAAGGAGGTCGGGAGATCTGCTGTCATACGTGTCGCTGTCGACGACGACGAAAGGCGAACAAACGACGTCGGGGCCCGTCCATCTTCTCCATCTTGTCGATGCGTCTGCGCCCCCTCCCGCATAAATATCGTCCTCTTGCGGCTTCTCCAGCACTGAAGGGCGCCGCACATGCTGCACACCGAGCACAACCACGCGGGATGCCCTGTTGCTTTTGTCCTCGTCGCGCCTCACCGCGATCGCCTGCTCACCCGTTTTTTCTCAGTCTGGAACTTCTTCAGTGTCGTCGACGATCATCGCCGTGGATCTTCTCTCCATCTCCTGACGTCGACATTCCGCGCCGTGTAAAGCGCTCGCGCTCTCCGCGCGGAGGTTTATGGACACGTGGAGAGACCTCACACTGTGAACCCAGGCCTCATTGCAGGCGGACCGCTCTCTCCTTCTCGTCGCGGATCCGTATCGCCCCTTCGGAGGTTCGACGCCCTTCTACGTTGTGTTCTTCTCGCCGCGGAGCAGTGTGGGCGGGGTTTATGTCCTTCTGGCGTGCACGTCGATGTCGAGCTACTGTGTGTGGCAAGGGCGGTTCTTCATCGTCAGTGTGAACGCGCCCGATTGAGATACACTGATCCATTCGCAAGGCACTGTTTGCAGCCCGTCAGCGGAACGACCATCGACAGGGCACTCTCCCTTTGTCGCCGCGGATCTCTCTCGCCACGTGTCGGTTCGCGGTCGTCTGTGTTGTCTTCTTCTCGCCGCGGAGCTGTCTCGCCTGTGCCACCCGACGACTTTGGCGCACCTGGACGCCTTGCTCCTTAGTGCGCCAAAAGTGTTTGTTCCTCGTCTTCACGAACGCAGGCGTAAGCGCGAGCGATCCACAGAGGGAAGCAGGAACCATGTCTGTGCGAGCCGGCGCCCGTGACAAGAAGCGGGAAATCGTCTAGGCAGACACTCAGGGGCGGGAGAAGGGTAGGCGGCATGTCCCCAAGGCGAAGAGGCTTCGTTCAGAAGAAGCATCAGGAAGCGTGCCTCTTCGGCGATGACGGACTTGGGCGACACCTGACGAAGACGACGACGAAGACGTGTTCACAACGGAGGAAGAAGCAGTAGAGAACACTGTGTCGGCACCTCGGGGAAGCAGTCTTCAATGGCCGTCTGATCAGAGCGCTGTGAGGAGATTGCTGACGCCCCCTCCGGAGGCGCAGCAAGCGCGTGGCCACGAAACCCCGAAGGTGAAGGAGGTTGTCGTCGACGTCGGCGGTGAGGACGACGAACCGTTGGAAAGCCGGCGGCAACGAAATGTTACACAAGGCGCCACGACGACGTCACTCAAGATATGCAGTTCGACTGAAGAAAGGGCACCTCAGGGTGGGCTGCCCTCTACGACGTCTCAGCCGCGTCCGTGCAACACGACTGGTGAGGGGGGCTTTGTGGAACGAAGTGGAGGGGGGTGAGCCCAGCCAGAAGCACGCATGGCGGGTGGGGGGGGGATCGCTGATGCAGACACTCAGGGGCAGGAAAGTAGTGTTGCGACCGTGGCGAGAACAGGAGAGGAGCTCCCAATTGCGCAGCGGGAGTTGGCGCACGGCGACAACAAGGGTGACAGGGAGGATAAGGACACCCTTTTAAGTCAGGTGTGGAGGGGAGGCATGGTGAAAGATCTCACCGACCGTGCCCGCCTCTAGGTTGATAACAAAACGTTCAGGACGACGGGGGAGGGGCGAAGACTGTACAACATTGTCCACGAAAGACGGGGGTACTTTGTCGCCATCGCAAGCGGGCTGCAAGCGCCCACGTCCCGCGGAGCGTAGTCATGCCGAAATCCGCCACTAGCCTAACAAGGATTGCAGATCCAGCACAACAGCAGCAGGCCATCTCCCGCACAGCGGCAGTGGAGAATATTGCTCTGCGCGTCTTGCATGAATGGGTCTTCAAGTCCGGGAACCGCCCTCGAGGATACAATCTCGCTTTGCAGTACGTGCTGGAGTCGGTGGCGACGGACATTGCGCGTGCCATGTGATACGGGGAGGAGTGGAGCAACGTCGTAAGTGCGGCCGTTTGCGCACACACAATCGACCTGAACATGGAGTTGCCACTGTGGTTTACGAGCGCGAACATCGAGGAAAGGCCGCATGACGACGACAGGGCGGCGGACCAGGAGTCGACCGTTACGTCACGCATGCATTCCACGCCGCGGTGCGAATGGGTGCCAACATCGACGGCGGGTTCATCTCACATGACCGTCTGTCAAGGATTGCAGATTGCTTCGTCTTCTACTTCGCGAAGCTGGTCGCGAAACCCACGCTCGTCGCGTCCATGCCTCGCTCCTTCGAGCATCGACGGTCCGTCATCCGAGCCACCAATGGAGTGACGGAGAGACTGGGGAAGGCAAACGCCACCTTCGGAGAGTACCCGAAGTACATCCCCCGACTGGGCTTCCGGCAGCATCGTCTTCGGCCACGACGCGAGCATAACGGGGCCGGAGGACGCGAAGTGGAGGAATTGGTTGGGTTCAAGCCCCATGGAGGACGACGGCGATGACGATAGAGAAGACGACGCGCAGGGGGGATGAGGGAGGGTTTGATGCGGCCGACACGTGCAGGGCGGGAGAGAGTAGTTGAACGGGTCACGTTTTTCGGTGCGGGTGGGGGAAGTGGTGGGGGGGGGGAGGTTGCAGTTGTTTGCGGCATCGATGCTACAGGTTTCGTGGCCGCGTGTTTGAAAAACGGATTGGTGATGGCCTTTCCCTACATTGCGCACGTGCACGACGTTTGTTTGCTATGTCTAGACGCCCAATGTTTTTGGTCGTCCGCTTAAGCAGGGTTTATTTGTGTAGTTGCGGTCGTAGTTGTTTGTGGACGTGGATAGTCTATCGTTGCTGATAGTGGAGAAGCGACGATACAGGGCGTTCCCTTCAGGAGGTTGTAGGAGCGAATTCGATTTCTGTGATCATGTTTTCTGTTGTGTTCAGCGCAGCTTGCTGCGCAAAAAGTTCATTGCGCTTGGCGCGCACCTTGCATCTTTTAATCTTGCGTCCTTTAATTTCGCCAGTTCGCAGATCATGACTGATCACTCATTCCATTGTCACTCATATCATCACCTCGTGTTTGTGCCTACGTCATATTGTGAACATGATTAGTCCTCGACTTGTTGGATGTAGATTCACTCATGTCATCTTCATTTGCTTGTGCCCTTGTCACTCGTTTGTTTGTTGTTTTTTTGTTTTCTTTCCCATTGTTCCCAATGCCAAACAAAMGACGTGTTTGTGTTTGATTTSAACACAAGGAGGACSAAGCGCACAACAACATATAACATACGATATCCGACAAAATCTGTTGTGAACGACAACACAATGAAATRACAAYACTCATAATGACAACACATACTGCAAATCGACAAAAAAAACTTYGGGAATCACAAAATCGTTCAACAACGCAAACTCAAAAAAATGGAAGGCACGTGGGGGACAAGTTTCAAGCCCACCCGAATCACCAACACTRCTTTATCTTCTTAACAACACCCGCTGTGCCAAAAAACGGCGCACTCTACAAAYGCAGTGCGCCGTGTCCACAATACACGACGTRAACACGAGTCATAAAAAAACAAGAACAACACCGAYGCAGATCCACGAGCARGGGGCGATGAACCACGACCCTCGAYGCAAATCACCAACCCCTAGCCGAAACAGACACTAGCAACCCAATCAAGGCTCGACGGAACAAYGAATCTGCCCTCCGACCATTGYYGCRATGAATGCACTTCCACGAGCTGCCGTCCACCATGGGAACACGACTGAATCGTGTTTCATTCGTTCCGCCAAAGCATGCCTCAGGGCCAACGCTTCCCTCGTCGACTTCATCATCGATACAGGATGAAGGGGCTCTTCCATCCCCAGCTCCACACGACGTCGCACACCATTACCATCGACCTCCCATAGCAGATTCTTGTCGAAGGGGATTCTGCGTCGATCAGTATGTTGTGCAGTCTATAGACGGCGGTGAACTGTTGCGGGAGCGTGTCTCGGTTTGTCTTGTGTGTTCGCAAAAACAGCCGGCACATGCCCTTCAGCCTGCCGAACGCCCTCTCCATCGCTCCCCTCGCCACCTTTTAATTGTTGTCAAACTGCTCCTCATCGACGTGCTGATTGATGCCTCCATACGAGACGACCATCCATTCTGAAGGGGGGTAGCCATTGTCCGCCAGGACGGACCCGTTCGTCTTCACACCGAGCGACAGTTTTACGGGGGGACCACGAAACAACGACCCCTCCTCCGCGAGTTGCAACAGGCTGGACAACTACAGCACCCTGATGTCGTGGAAGCTACCTGGGTATCCCATGTGCACGTTGAGCACACACAAGTCCAGATCGACGACACCCTGCGGGACAATGGAGAAACGACGCTTCCTGTCATAGTAGTTTTTGCTCGGAGCGTTCGCCAGCTTGTCCACGTAGATGTGAGTACAACCAATGCAACCGTGGCGGTTGAGGAACCCTTTATCAGCGAACGCCCACAGAACCACGAGTTTACGAACTTCAGTCGACCACGTGATCTTCTCTCCGAACACCCTCAGCAACGCGGCAGTAACATCGTGGACGGCAACCAGGCCAGAAGCTCGTCCAATCCCGAAGTTGCACGTGCTACTCTCGTACGTCTCCCCTGTAGCCCACTTGTACAGTGCGTACGCCACAATCTGGTCCGACTGCAAAGGCTCCCTGTAGAACGTGACCCGCCGCTGTAGATGAGGCGCACACGCCGCTGCGATCTCCCGGAACACTCGCGGCGACATTCGTAGCTTATCCCGGAAGTAGTCGTCTGTGGCGTCGTCGCATTGCTTGAGGTGTTCCCACGTGCCTCCTGTCCTGAGCTTCACCCACCACCGCGGCGCCGCATGAGGAATCACTCCGCAACCCAACGCGTAGCACAGGTGAACAATAGCCTCCGACGTCGCCACGTATTCGGCCCCATCGTCCAGACCTTGCGTCAATGTCCTCCGTCTACACGCGCGCAACTGCTCCTTCAGTCGCCCCAACGCCCTCTGCTGCTGACATCGAAGAACGATCGTGGACACGACCGCCGCCACAGCCTGCAGCTCACCAGGCGTCAACACATCACGTCTACCCTCTCCACCGCTCTCCATAGCCGCGACTCGGACGTGGACACGGACCTGTCGCTCCGCTACCATCTGTGTCGTCCTTGCGCACCCGACGAAGAAGCCGAAGACATCCGTCGAAAGGTGGCCCGTTTTTTCTGCTGACAGTCCTGCACACGGAAACGAGGAGCAATGCGCAGTCGGCGTGTGCGAAGGTCCACGGTGATGGACGCACCACACGCTGCCTGCATATTCGGAACGACCTCGAGACGGAACCTCCGCCACGCTGAGCCCCTTCCTGCACCACGCCGTCGTCGCGCCGCCAACCACACATCGTCGTCGTCGTCGCAACATTCATTCGAATTTCAAATTTCAAATGCCCATGCCCTTGGGGTTAAATTTCTTTTCGTGTCGCCCGCTGAATGCCGTTTCCCGCCTCGCGTCGCTGGACCACGCCGCCTCCAAAAGGACAAAAGACGTTGGACCAAGGACGACTGACCCCACGACCGCTAATTTGCGTATGAAAACAATCGCGGGTGAGCCACAAGGAAACATCCTCGGGCGGGTCCCCAAGGATGAGTGGAACGACGCCACAAATTCCCCTAAAAAAACACAAGGATATTTCCTTGTGGCTCAGGGAACTCGCAAGAAGTGTCTAACAAGGCCCACACACACACACACACACACACACAGAGTAAAACACACACACACACACAGAAACTGAATTGTTTTTTTTTTTCCATTTATTTTTCTTTCGTTTTCTTCTCTCAAATTATTCATCATCTTTCAAATTCTTTGAATTCACCTTCACTACCTACCTACCTACCACTACTCCCAAGGCTTATACAGGGGACCCCTGCAAACATAGCTTTGTTGTCTCCCTCCARCCATGATAGGTGATGCATGTTGTGACRCCCCAACCTCACGCCCTGTGTGACTTCCTGATCGGAGTGGGATGTGAGCCTGGAAGTGCGAAAAGGGGTGTGCCAAGGATTTTTGGGAAATTGGGGTGGAGTCCAAGGTTAGAACTGAGATCTCATGTGGCGAGGGTTCAGGGGCGTAGGTGCAATGAGGCTMAGGGGCGGGTTACCCTTGGTCTGAKGGCGGTCGATGTCGTGCAGCATAAGGCAGATGGCATGCGTGGTAGATCTTGGACCGCCCGATCTACCGGTTTCACCCCGCTTAGTTCTCCTGTGCCCGTCGAGTTCGCCCGTGCGCTACAGTCCGTCGTAGCCTCACGCGTCAACCCCGCACATTCGGCACCAGATCGCCGGGTCGCCCAACTCCCACTTCAACTCACCTCTTACTTCGCTCGTGAGCCGACCCTCACTGATCGCACTACCCCGAGCTTCCAACAACTGTTTAAGAGAGCTATCTAATCGCGCAACCGCAATTTATAGCGTGCATGCATGCATGAAAAACACGGAATTGCAAGGACTTGAGAGGAAAGAAGGGGAGGAAATGCTTACGTTCTGCATGGCCAGATCGCAACGTGGGGGACGTAGCCACTCTCCACGCATCGATCCGATCATGCAGCCCGCGGGCCAACTAGGCACAGTAAAGAAGAGAGAGGGCGGTCAAGACGAAGCTCAAGAAGAGAGATACAGTTACAAGGGCGCCCCACCCAAAATTACAGTTACACGCAAGATTAAGGGCACCGCCTGATCAGAGYTCCGTTGCAACCGCAAAAAGAAACACGCGAKCAAAGAGCACCGCGCGACAAAAGAAATTCCGAATTCCTAAATTCCTAACGCAAAAATGCAAAAAGAGCTTTATTAAAGCACAAATCCCGAAAAGAAAGTCCGGAATTCCGAGAGTCATCGAGGGCTCGACAAGATTCGAAAAAGAAATTMAAAAAGAAAGAAGCAAAATTCCCACGCGATCATCGCGCCGAAAACCCGACAGCAGAACAAGAAAGAAGCGACGTCAACTGTTATTAATTGCGCCTCTTGTCGGCGCGCTAGCCACTCAATCGACCATCCTGGGACTTGCCCAGTCCTSGCKCCAGCCATCCAAAAAGAAGCGACGTAAGAAGAGGAACAAACAAGGACACCAATGCAATTTCCTGTCGATCCCATTTCCCGTAATTGGCCCAACCTTCCCATCTTAGGACCCCTTATTGTCATTGCGCAGAAAGTCGCGCRGCACAGAAAGTGGTTTGTCACATATGTAATGCCCAGGGGGTTCCAATTTTAAGCAAGCTCTCACTTGCTTGTCATTATGACAAGTGTCGATCTTTCTAATTGATTGACACGTGGAGCTCTCTTCGTGTTACTTACCGTGTGAAAGAGTGTGAAAGTCATCCAGTGTGGCATATGTGGCTCTATCCTACAAGTTCCTCAGGAATAGCTCTATCCATCGAAGGAGGGGATCGCTCGTATGATCGTTGTGACACGTGCCATGCAATTCGCACATCAGTAACTAGAAGGGAGGGGAAAGGGAAGGCGGTACATGGGGGCGTGTTGAGGGGGTCAGTCAGTCGGAAGTGTGGGTAGGAAGCTTTGCATTCCCACGATTGTCACCAGAAGCTCCTGATATCGGGCGATCCGATGGAAGCGAGGGAAGTGGGTACCACTATGGGGGAGGGACGCGAGATAGTCGGGGTAGAGAGTTGTAAAAGTGCGGAAGAGGGCCGTGTGGAACCGATCATGGTTGTCGMACGTGGGGATAGTYCCCGTGATCGTGCAATAGACCTSGATCATATTGTGGCCTCGCCACRCGACACTAAAGAGAAGGACGTGGAGGCAAAAGACAGGGGTGGCGCAGCGGGTAGAGGGGCGGGGTTGTACCGTGATAGCGAGGCGGGTAGCGTAGAAGTGACGGAAGGTGTTGGTGGGGAAGGGGTTGTGGGGGAAAGAGACCGAGATGGTGATCTGGCGAAAGGTCAGGTAATCAAAGGGACGACGGGATAACGCCCGGGGACGAAGCCCTATGCCCTGCATCGACATGTGTTCGAACTGGGGGACGGGGGGATGGGTAAGGGGATCGGCTCCGTCGCCTGCGCGCCGGTGCGCTCAWAGTCTCGGCAACAGGGTCCCCATCGTCGTTCTTGGGTGGCTCGGGATCCTTGGTCAGGTCGTTCGGGATCGATAGATCCGCGCYGCTTGCGTACTCCAGTGGCTGCTTCCCGGCCGCGATCTCTTCTCTCCGCCGCGCCACTACCTCGGGATCTTCTTCCTGAGCCTCCGCCTTCTCTTCCAGAGTCTCCCACTCAGATCCTTCCTCTTCCTGATCTTCTTCTTCTTCTTCTTCACTCTCCGACCCTGGTTCTTCCTCGCTGTACTCACTATGGCTTCCTTCTTCCTGCGAGGTTTCTTCTTCGCTTTTGTCTTCYACMTCCGCTTCCTCCGCCACTGCTTGCTCTTCTTCCGCTGTTCGAGGCTGCAGGRAAAGGACGTCGATGATTCCCCGGGGGTTCAGATATTCCGCACGTGAGRGGTAGCTTCCGCGTCYTGTCCGATCCTCCAAGCAGGCTGACCACTGCGGATACGGCAKCAGTCTTCGCGAAAGAAYGTGCGGCACTGGGCTCTCGTCGCAYTGTGATATGATGTCGAGGGGAGATCGTCGATCAGTCACAAGCGGTTATCGGGTAGCTGAAAATTCAGGAATGAAAATTATCAAGTAAGAGTTTTTGGTAGTCTGAAAATCCTGAATGGTCCTGAAGTGGTGAAAGGTCTGAAGACCCTGAAAAACCACCTGTTTAGGCAGGCTGCATCCTGAAGTGGTGAAGGGTGTCCTGAAGTGGTCAAGTGAGAGTTTTGGGCAGTCTGAAAATCCTGAATGGTCTTGAAGTGGTGAAAGGTTTGAAGACCATGAAAACCACCCTTACCACTTGAGGATGCAGCCTGCCTAAACAAGTGGTTTTGAGGGTCTTCGGAGCTTTCACAACTTTAGGACCATTCAGGATTTTCAGACCTGAATAGTCCTGAAGTGGTGAAAGGTCCGAAGACCCTGAAAACCACCTGTTTAGGCAGGCTGCATCCTGAAGTGGTGATGAAAAATACGACTCTTGTTMACCTTCTCTCCGATCAGTTGTGCTAAGGGGATTGTAAGCTCCCACAYGATCGTCTGTCGATAGTCTGGCTCTACCGCTCCGAAGACGAATCCGAGGAGATCTCCTTCTACCTCTGTTCTCCAGGCCTGGATGATTRGCAGCTCCACGCTCTCCCTCACGGCACGATGCTCACTATCCCGTGTCCACGTCAGTTCCACTTCGACCASGCACAACGAAAGAGTGAGGTAGTCCTCACACCAAATTTCCCAGTGTCTCGGCTCGATGAGGGGAACGGCGAGTGGCTGGATACAGAAGGAAAGACGGGGATGGAGAGCGGATTGCCAGAAAGTGSGGAAGAGAGAGGGGAGGGCAAAGGTTGAGAACTGGGACCGGTTCATTGAGGGCGCAGAAAGGGGACGAGCTCTGGGAGCGYTACTGYCGGCTCGTGTCAGGATGTGCRGAGCCCGCCAATGTCGATGCTGTCAGTGACAAARAGGTTGTCGTTGTGCCGCGCAAGCCACCGRCTCCACTCMTGTGCTAACTGCTCACCCCACTTCCTTAGCGATGTCCGGATGACCGTATCATGCCGTATGCCTTGTACGATCTAGCGCRCTGATGTCCCCGTTGAAGACGACGACGGTAGACACGTGGCTCACCCTTGGCTCCGAAAGCCATCGATAAGCCGATGCCTCGGCCAATACGAGTGTCTGGCTATGCGCCACAAAATGAAACTCCGCCGCMKCATACACCCTAGTGGTGCTGAAAAACTGCGCAAATCGGAGAGAGTCCGGACTGATCCGTGGATGATGGACTTGTCTGACTCGGATTGCCGAKATATCACCACGGGGTGCCAGCATGTGCTCACCAAGAACTCGCTCRGTAGAAAAAYTCATGGTGATGGCGGCGGGGACGGAGTATCAGAAGGGGAGCGAGACAGAGAAGGAGAGGGTGATAAGCAGGCGTCGTCCTCTTCCGTATTGGAGGAGGGTGCAAACGAAGGTGGAGATGRAGAGGAAGGGAGAGGCCACAGATAGGACACGTGGCGAGTAATCGGGCGGGCGGATTGRYTGTCGGAGACCTCGGGCACGAGCCGCACCGTGTTCACTCCGTTCGGACYGAGCKYGACTARGTGAAATCGCCYGATGAATCGTGGSGCTAGCTTACCCTGGCGAGCACATTTCCTCACCTGCACGATGTCCCYCRACTTATACTGGGKYCGTGGGMCCGCATTCCCATTCCGGGCCTCGTAACTRYGRAGYTGTCGGYTGTGGGCCAACTTAGTCATTTTTTGGCGCTTTTGGGCTAATCGGGGAAGGGACCGCTCCATCAKCTCTAGGTGCCGCTCGACCTTGTCTCSAAMCGTGGCCCTCGTGGGCCGTCTGTTCAACGAAGATTCGTATGGGAGGCTYGGTATCGAAACGCCARCCACACTATTGGTCCGTAATTGAAAGGGGCTCAGGCYCGTTGATTCGTRAGGCATCCCCCTATGGACCGCCAGGATATGATCCACGATGTCGGGCCATGGTCTCGGATCTCGTGCCGCGATGTTTCGTCGYAGTGCAGTCTTAATCACCCTATTGGCRTTCTCTACCAGCCCGTTAGACTGTGACATGTGGGGTGCAGTATTYYRAATGGCGACGCCGTRTATGACCAGGTTCCTCAAAACTTCCACTCCGAATTCCGCCCCATTATCGGTCGGGATCTCCTCTGTGTCCTGATGCATTCCGAGAAAACGGTTGACGTATCGCGCAATTTTAGCCACCTRTCGCGTACGACATGGATATGCCTTGATCCATTTCGAGAAGTGKTCTACGAATACCAGTAGGATTGAATACTCGCAGCTATTAGGTCCATGAGGCACCACTATATSAGTAGWATCCATACTAAYCCTCTGAAAGGGCCTTTCAACTACCGTCGACACTATCGACCTTGGCGGCTGAATCGGCGCCTTGTCTGCAGCGCAGACCTGACAGTTCTGGACGATGAATTTCACATCGTCGCGAATGTTGGACCAGTACCACTCGTTTTTGTCGGTCGCCGYTTCCGTGATCCGGACGGCAAAATGSGCTGCAGTTTCCTCATGCGCCGTCTTAACCCAGTCATACSTCATGAATGGGTACGACACTATCATCCAAATCCCACTACCATCCGTCTTCCGTTTTTCTAACCGACCCTCGTTCCAGCGGTAGTCCTGAGCMCTTTCGTTGGCCCTCCTCCGGTCCTCCTTAGTGAAGTCTTGGAGGGGGTTACCTACCAAGGTGGCAATTAAGGCGATATCCGTCCATACCTCGGCCCTTCTAAATTTTCRGGTCTTTTCTAACCCTTCTRACGWGGCGTCGAGAAATCGAACCTCGGTCGAGATCATATCGACTCGACATAGGGGGCACAACCAAGGCTTGTTGCTACTTCGATACTGAATACAAGAGCCATGGGCTCGAGCGACAYASCGCCGASAATCTACCCACTTGACATATCCTTCCCCARCAGGATGCATAGRGACGGAATAAACGCGTGAAATTGCTTCGCAAAATAGCAAAATTTGTCGGGAAGAAAGAGAAGAGATGAAGGTGAGAGGTGAGAGAGARGTGTTGTAGGATTACCTCTGTCCCCCATTGCCATTTGTCTGCTTCTTGCCACGCGGAAGAACTGCCACTTGTCCGTACTTGGGCCCGTTCGTTGATTCAAGTTCCTTCCACGGGATGATTTCTTCACCTGTAGGTACCTTAGCTGATCGATGCAGACGTGKCAGTCCGTCAGCGTTCCCGTGCCTCTCCGTCTTCCGATGGACGATGTCGATATCGTACTCCTGTAGGCGCACCACCCAACGCCCARTCATGCCTGTATAATTAGTGAGCCTTTTGAGAGCCAGTAGTAGCTCGTGGTCAGTCACAAGAAGAAACTTATGTCCGTAAAGATACGGATGGAAGTGCTGGATTCCCCAGACCACGGCGTTACGGTAACATTCGCCTTGCRGAGCTGAATYGTTCCTCCACTCRTCTGGCACCGTGCGTGATGCGTATTCGATGACGTGTTCACGRCCGTCGTTCCCCTTTTSCGCTAGAATGGCAGAAATTGCCTCCGATTGCCAGTCCGTAATKAGAATGAACTGCTTTGTAGGGTCCGACCGGATCAGAATAGGTGTTGTGGCCAGGGCATCTTTGAGGGCTACCGTAGCGAAGGCCTGCTTGCACTCGGYGTCCCAACTGAGAGGCTGGTCCTTCMGTAGCAAGTTCGTCAGGGGCCTTGTTATCGCGGCAAAGCCCTTGATGAAACGACGATAGTATGACGTCAGTCCCAARAAGGCTCGAACCTGCGTWAGTGATGTGGGGAYGGGGGCATCCTTCACCGCCGCGACCTTTCTCGAATCTGCCCGCAGTCCTCCCCGCGTCACCACGTAGCCCAAGAACGAGATCTGCRATAGGAAAAACTCGCTCTTCTCGAGCGCGATCTTGAACCCAGCGTCTCTCAAAACTCCTAGTGTCCACTCGATATGTTGCGCGTGCCCATGACAGGTTTCCGAGTAGACTAAGATATCGTCCATGTACACGATGACGCAAAAGTTGATCATTTCTTGAGTTATCCGCGTTTTGTTGACGAAGTTCTGAAACGTCACATTCTTAGTCCAATGAAACGTGGCGGGCGCATTGCAAATCCCCATAGGACACCGAACCCACCGCCACGTGCCCTCAAACAATACGAAGGCCGTTTTTGGTCRACCTTCCTCCTTAACCAGAATATGATGGAAGTCGTGACGAATATCAAATTTACTAACCCAATCGCATCCAMCAAATYATCAATCCRGGGAAGGGGATACACATCTTTGATCGTGATATCGTTCAGTTTTCGGTAATCGATGCAAATGCGAATCGACCCATTCTTCTTTGGCACT